CGACTTCTTGAGAAGAATTCTAAGAAGAAAGTAAACCTACAGACATCGGTCTTGTTTAACAAAAACTGCCTAAACAAAAAAAAATATCCACTACTAGTAGACCTAGTTTGTAGGACTGAAATCTTTCTAATAAAATAATGTTAATGCTGAGTAACCTGTTTTTGAAGGCTTTCATTGTGTTATATTTATGTTTGCCAGCATTTTCAGAGCAGCTTATTTACTCTGATAATTACCTAAAGTAAGGGTTGTATAAAAATAGTTTAAAGTAGTAGGCCTACATCAGTATGTCTATATATAAATTCTCATTAAATAATGGATAACATAAAATATGGGTGCAAAAAATGAAAATTTATAATTCTGAATATTTTTATCTCTTAAAATGTGTAAAGTAGCCTAATATTGATGTAAAATGTTTAATGCAGCTGCTTAGTTACTTAGAACTGATGTTTTCATTAATATGAATTATAGAAAGGTATCATTTACTAAAATTAACTTAAGAAGTTCCCTTTTACTTGTGTGTAAGTTGTAGAAAGTGTGTATGTGTGTACATAGGTATATATATATTTTTTCAATTTTCATTGGCATAAGGTAGGTTAAATGTATTAAAACTATTATGTTAAATTTTCGTATTTAATTCACATTTTCCAACTGCACTTGAAGCGGACCCAACACAGATCTCCAACAGTGCTCTTTTTTCAAGAAGTGTGTGGTTGGGGTAGCAAGTCTTGTTTGCATGTATGTGCTTACAAGCATAGAACAAACTTGCTGTACATTGTGTTGGGTTAACAGTATGTGCAAACAGAAAAATGATGGGATTTTAGGCATCCTGTGAGAGTTATGCTGAGATGTTATTAACCATTCAAACATAAAAATATATAATGTGAAAGTTATCCTCTAATAAAATTCATCCTTTTAAGTTAAAGATTTTTTTTTCCTTCTTAGTCATTGAAAACTTTCTTTTGTTTAAGTTTGTCTTACACCGTTAATAACATACCAGATCATTGCTGCTGAAATTGGTAGTTCTCAAAAATCATACATTATTCAAGAAGAAATCAATAACTTTTCAGAGATTTTAATTTAACTTTGATGTTTAAATTCTGACTAATTTTTTCAGTAGTTTAATGATCACATGGAGTGTACATTTCTTTTTTATACACACATTTGTTTTAACTTGTGTGTAAAACAGTATTTATGTAATTGTTCAATAATTTGCTAGCTAAATTTTCTTGAGTAATATGACAGTGTGATTACCAAAAGTTACTCTTATATTACACATCCTTTGTTTAAAATTTATGTGAGTTACTTTATGCTACAGAGCATTTGATTCATAGAAGAAGTAATTGGTATTGTAACATAATTAAAGGCTGATGAATGTAGTTGTTAGGGCTACTTTACTGTTGACATAATTGGCAGGTTCAAATCTTTAGAAATTTCTATTATTTGTAAATAAAGTGTTAGATATACATGACTGCTTCTGTTTAAGCACAGTGCAAGTGTTAAATTTAGTTATTTTTGGAAGCAATAGTTTAATGCAGGTTTGTTTACATAACCATGTATGAATCATACTTGTGTACTTCAGTTGTTATGAATTCATGCTTGTTGTAGTATTGCATCATGTTACTAGCCCTTCTAAGTTTTTCTTGTTGTTTTGATTGAGTATTATTGCATCATAATATCTTGTAGTATGGAGAATATGTGTCCAAAAGGTAGTTCAAGTTAGTTAATGATATAGACAGAGTTAGTTAGATAGAATAGATAGTTCTAGAGCATATAGTGGCAATTTCTAAAGTGAAATTATCACAGATTATATTGTAATAACAGAGTAGAGAAGAAACAATTTGTCTTGTCAGTTGGGTTCTAAAGTAATTGAACCAATATGTGTGGAATTTGATGAAAAGAAATAATTATATAAAGCTCTGGATACAACTGTGGTGATTAACTGTGTAATGAACATTTGTGTATACATTTGACTTGTTTTAATATATTATTTTAAAACAAGTGGACTGAGTGCTGTTTGTTTATTGTTGAAATTTATCGCCAACAAATCACAGACACCTACTGTAAATAATCCAGTCCATACATACATAAAAACCTGATATAAAGTAAGTTTAGTTCTGTATTTCATACAAAACAAACAACAATGTACTTGTATTTTTTTTAAGTATTAATAGTAATCTATTAACAGTAATCTAAAATTAAAACTTCAGTGTGAAAAGAAATTATTGTGTTCTGATTTTTCTCATTAAAAGCTGCCATACTGATGTTACAGTAGGAAAATATGTATGTATGTGACACCTGTCATAGAAAGTTCAACTTTTAAAGGTTTAACTTGTGATGAGTGAATGAAAAATAATGCTTTGAAACTGAGTATGAGGTAAAAGGAAATGGAAGTTTCTACTACAAAATCAAAGATGCATAAAATATCTTTTATTAACTATTTATTTTCTGTTAATGCAGATGGGATATGTAAAATAGATAATTTTTACTATGTTTAGACCAGTATAGTAAGTACAGGTACACCACTGATTTTCTAGTACCCTTGGTTCCAGAGCCTTGCTGGATAATCCGTTTTGCCGGACCAACAGAGGTCGCGTAATAATAATTCATCAATACACCTCTGACCCACTAATTATACCCCTCCCCTGTCTCTAAAGCACAATGGACTGCTAGAAACTTAGCTAAAACAAATATCAAATGATTAATTAATCAGTTGCCGGATAATCGGTGGTGTACTGTAATTTGTTTGAAGATATCTTTGATTACTGATCCATGAAAGACACATTAGTTGAAAGATTGGTTTATTGTCTCTTACTTTGATTTCAAATAGATCAGTTTTTCTTTATTCTGGAAAAAGTAGTAATGAAAGAGTAAAATGATGAAAACGTTAGAATATAATGAACTGTTGTGTTAAGAACAGACTTTAAGATACATGGTCATTTATTGTTATAGCATTTACATTGCCCTGAAATTAAAATAACAGATACAAACTAGAATCCAACCTGCACCTGTTAGCCATAAAACATTACCAAAAATTTAGGGGATAATAATTTATTGAAATAGTTAATATTTTTGTTTTACAGTTAATGACATTTAACATTTGGTATATTCCAAAAAAAGTGCATCTAGTATCTCATTTCACATCCTTAGTTTGCTGGAAGTATTTGTTAAAAAACATATTTCTTGATATATTAAATTAGGCATTACATGCAAGAATATTTTTTTTGTTTTGAAGTTTATAGATTTTTGCTCTAATTTTGAAAAGTTGTAATTCTAATAGATTCAAATGGGTATTTTATTCATACATAAATTTTTTATTACATGTTTAATATAACATCCAAAACTAAACATTATTTCTTTTTAAAAGGCTGGTACTTGAGATTTTATAGACTGTTTGAATGAAAAATGTAATATTGAAAAAGCATTAGTTTATACATCTGATTTAGTATTAGGTGGTAGTTAATTTTTTGTATAGTGTTGCTGCTTATATTTTATATACAAATGTTGAAAGTTAATTCATTATTGCTGTGAATAGTTTACAAATATGTTAATAAATTATTCACATTGATATCAAATTAACAAGATTAAGAAATAAATAAGTGGCAAGTGCATGTGGAACTTTAAACAAGTGTTAATCATCCATGTTTCAGGATTTTCCTACAGTCACCATTTTTGGATCAGGATGCATGATATCAAGTATTTTTATTTTTTAAGGAAACAAAGTAAGTTAATTATTGCTTTTCCTTGATTAAAGAATAGTTGTTCATTAATGTATGTATAAGTATTTTGGGCCTCAATCTTTTGAGGCACTATGTAATGGCTGTTATTGATTTTTTTTTCACTAGTAAATTCAAGATTTTTACTAGCAACAACATTCTTCTTCTAAAATTAGCTGTAACATAATTATTTGATGTATTAAGTGTTAATAAATAGTAAGTGTATGTATGCCAAATGTGTGTGTGTGTATATATATAATTTATGTCATGTTTTCTTTTCAAATATCAAAACTAATTTTAATTACATAGAAAAGTATTTCTATTGTAACTATTTCACAAAAGCTAAAAGATGATTTAATTGGGCAGAAACTAGAACATCTCCACCACAAGCTCCTGAATTGACAAAGTTTACAGTACCTCACTGCTGATGGTTACCCTGTACTAAAAACAGTATTTTATTATTACAAATTACTGTTTAAAGCTGAAAGATGGCAAAACATTAAAACCAATGGGTATAAACATTTTTGTTACTTGTAAAAATTAAGAGAAATATGGAAACAACATCTGCAGTTTATGTGATTTCTATTTTATTATTAGGAGTTTTGCTATTAAAACTTAAAAAGCCACCAGAAAAAACTGCTAGTAAACGTTTCAGAAGGAAGATCAACAGATTCTTACTATCAAGTATCAATACACCCTTGATGTATGCATTTCAATCATTTATATTCCAAGAGTACAGAAGGTCACTATAATTGTGATTAACAAGAAGATTTTACTTACCAGCCTAAGTATCAAGAAATGGAGATACCAAGATTGTAGCTTCAACTTGTTTAACTGGTTGCAAAAGCAATTAGAACATGGGCCAACTGGCTAGATTCACTATCTAACATCTAAAATGGGGTTTTGCCAGCAGTGTAATTAGAAGTACTGTGATCAAATGGTTGTTCACTGAAGCAACACTCATCACGGTTTGTTTGGGTTATTTTTGAACCATATATTTAGAAGTTGAGAAATGTTGAAATGTTTCTGAGCCTGTAATAAGCTAGGAGGAACGAGAGGAAAAGGATTACCCAAAATGTGCTATCTGGAAGTGGCACACCCATGGGCTAAAATAACCTGTTTAGTACTGGGTGCATAATGAGAACAACTACATAACATTTTGCTAACATGACAAAAACTTTTAATGAACATGTTTTTTTGAACACTTCATTAATTCCAATATTAACACTTATGATGGGCTGATGCAAATTCTCAGATAATTCATCAGTAGTTAAGAATTAAATTTTTTGAATGGAGGTTAATGTCAAGAGCATTTTTTGTCAACTATAAATTATAGAAATTGTTGACACTGCTGTAAGTTATGGTCTTAATCTCAATTTATTGTTGATCTGAACAATTATAAATCACTGAATTTTATAGCATTACCTCAGTATTACTTCTTAATATGTTATGTATTAATTAGTGAAGACTTTCAGCACAATAATGAGTTACTCAAATTATAATACTATAGTATAAATTTATACTCTCACTACTAAATATATACATCTGAAATGTTACTGAGCGTACACTAAGGTGGTCCTTATTTTGTTTTGAAGTTTTGATTTACAACACTTACCTCCTCATTTAGTCCCAAATTTTACACACAATGAATATCATCTAGGACTTGCTCAAGGCAGTCAACATTTTACCTTCTAGCTCATGTTATATCTGCATATCCTTAATATTTCAAAGTTAATTTCTAGCACTGGAGAGGCTCAAGCTTCTGCTGTGACACATTTTCTGGAGGAGTGAGGAGTCATTAATCATGTAAATGCAACTTTCCTTTACACAACAGCAAGCAACACTGGTCACACAAAGATTAAACAGTATTTTCTGTATTTGGCATGCCAGTGTCATATCTTAGAAATTGTCCTGACATGTGTTTTCAAAAACTGTATGGGCTTTCCTGTGGTCCAGATATTGGAGTTTTCAATCAGTTACAGCAATCCTGAGAATACATGGACCAGTCCACTTATGAAACTGCAGCTGACCATGATGAAGTAGCAGAAGCCATAGAGGGGGTTAAGGACAGTGTCATTGAGTATACTACAAGACAACTTCAGGTCAACCAAACTAGAGACAATTATCAAGAGCTTCTTGAACTAGTCATAACCTTTCTTGGTGGCATTTCCCCTTGTGGAGTGTGATTTATAGTACCAGGAGCACTACATCATACATGATGGATGGCCAAGGTATTATACGCCTTCAAGATCAGAATGTTTACATGACAGTTTAAGCTCAATGGAGATGAAGAAAGAGGACTCTGTAACATATGTATCTTTGTTGTTTGAGTCTATCTTAGGCATGGTTCTCTGCTCCTGATGCTGTTTCTGTTTATTGCAATGATCTGAACTTCCTATATGTCTTTTTAAGTATAAAAAGGTGAAATCTACTACTTCAAAACCTTCTTGTGAAAAATTTGCTGGACATCTACATTAACTTAATGAGGAATGCATCGGTTTGGCATTCTCTCATTCAGCTGTATCTACAGAGACAAAACAAGCAATGATAAAGGCACTAACTTAGAAAGAAGGAACGGATGAACTTCAAAAGTTGCATTCAGCTGAATATAAGAAAGTGTGAGGAGATTTCAGTTGAAGATTTCATCACAAAGAACAGAAAAGCTTCTTTCGGGTGCCTTGAAATTCCATCTGGAATTCTAAACTATGACCCTGAGTCATGGGAGTTCAGAGAGGACTACAGGGAGGCACTACAGAAAGTTCAGTACTTGAATGTGGTAAATAACAGTGCTGAAAGGGTACGACCTTTATTGAAAAGTATAATGCCATCATAACAAAGAAAGAAGAACAGAAACAATTCCTGCTTCAAGTTGTGCAGGATCAAAGAAGATGCTTTCCTAACAGCCAAAAGGAAACAATAACAATGTAAAAGTGACTAATCACACCAAAATCATATAATTATGTAACCATACTATTGTATATGTAATAAAATATTTATATACTTAAAGTATAATTTATGATATTTAACAAATATGTTTTTATATTGTATAGTACATGCACTACCAGGCCACTGCACTCTAGAACTTTAACTTCATTGAACAAAATAGATGAAGTTTAAAATTTAACGTTTTTTTTTGTACATTGGAACAAAGTTAGAAAGAGAGAGCCTTAGAATTTTTAATCTGAAATTTTACCTGCAAATAAGGATCACCCTAGTGTACACTATGTTACTATGCCTATGTTAAGATTGCACTACAACAGTGCCTGGTTTTATTGATGACATTTGGCATGATCATGAATAAGATGATGTCTAAAAAGTACTATATGATTTAGTTATTTAGTTCTTATTTTGTGGATTGAAAACTATTCACTTATATATGTTACATTTTGTACACATATACATGAAATCTATTAATGCTGTTTTAGAACTAAATGTATTTATATTCACCTTCAATTATTCAAAAAAATTAATTTTTAAATAGCTAGGAGAATAAATTTTAAGTTTCTTAGACTACTTACACATTGCTTATTGCTTACATTACATTTATATATTTTTTCAAACATGTTGGCTTTTATTCTCTGTTTTTAATTTTTTTTTATTGACCTGCTAGTTTTAAAAAACATGATTCAAAAAAGAAATAAGACAAGCACTAAATTCCATGTAGAAATCATGGCTATATAAGAAGCCATGTGTTTTTTTTTATGTAGTTCTGTTTAGACCTCAGTATATTGTATTCTATCATCATGAAATAAACCCAGTAACCTGAGCACTTTCAGAAGGTGGACTTATCATCATCAGGGGTAAATGACTAAACAGTCTGTGTACTATATTTGTAGTGATCTCTACTATTGCTCAAATGTAATTGATATAGAATGGGGGAAGAGATAAAACAGGACTAATTTACTAATTGAAATATTATGTACTAGTTATTAAATTTATATTATGGCAAGAAAGGTTTCAGGTATATTGAAGAGGATGAATGTTTTCCAATGTTTTTTGAAGTAAAGTAATCATCATATAATTATGTATTGTATCTATATTATAAAAATAGTACTGTAGGCTGTTCTACATGTTTTTAATAATATGTGTATACTGATAACAATGTAATTTCTTTGCAGGATTTTCATTTTCAGTGTCTTGCTTCCACATCATGTAATGGAAAAAAAAAAAGTTCAGAGTTGTGACAAAACATTTTGAAGTATTTTATCTGCAGAAATCAATCCATGCTGTTAGCAGTACTCTTACCTAGTTGAAGTTTAGGTAGTATTTAAACAGTGACATGGTACATTATACAGAGTATGTAATGTAAATTTAGTTTTGGAAAATCTTATTTTTTTTGTTCAAATAAAACTCTTGAGACTTAGTATAAAACAAGAACTTTGTGTGGGATAAACTTAACTAGTGGAACACGTATTTTGCATTAAAAACTACAACCAGTATCTTGGACCATTCAGGCATTTATTCAAAACAGCTTATAGTAATATGGTTTAAGTATTTTTTTATCTGTAGTGCCTTTTCACATTCACTCAAAGAGTCATTTATAATTTCAAACATTAATTTTTTGGTAGTTAATTAAAATAGTGAATATTTAATAAGCTGTCATAAAACTACGAACACTATAAAAGGGTCAGAAACTAACCACGTGGTGTTGATTATTTCTACAGTAACTTCTTATCACATTGAGCAGTTTTATGGAGCTGGAACAGATGCAATACTTGTTACTTGAACTAAAAGATATGCTCCTTTAGGATGGTGGTTTAAAATATTAGGAATTGAAGTTCTGCAACAGTATAGCAAATGTGAACAATATAGCAAATGTGAACAATATACCAAATGTGTACAATATAGCAAATGTGTAGAAACTATTTAAATATTGAATAAAAAATAAGAATAAAATTTATTTATATTGAAATGTTTTTATTGTGTTATACTTTTTCTCCATTTCTTGTAAAACCCAAAAATAGTTGTGGCATTTGTTTACCCAGTAAAGCAGAAAGAATGATTCTACCTCACAGTAATATCTTTAATATCTCGAAATACATATTACTTAGAATAATGGTAAATGGATGTCAATAAAGTTGAATACACAAATAATTAACTATTAAGACCAATGCATAGGATTTACTATCAGTACCTGTGATAAAATCAACTAACATGAAATATAACAATTTGGATTTAGAATTATGGTGGTCTGTTGTTTTAGTTTTTTCAGTGACTTCGTTTTAAAATGGAGGGGAGGGGACGATGAATATTCCACATTCGGAAGCTTCTATGATGTTGCTTATCACACACACACACACACACACACATATATAAATATATATATTACACACACACATATATAAATATATATTACATACACACATAAATTCAATTTCTGTAGTATAAGAAATTATCATAATCGCACTCGGGAAATAATGTTTCATCGATCGTATTATGTCGTTCGACAGTTTGTTTGTTTGGAATTAAATACGAAGCTACACAATGGGCTATCTATGCTCTACCCATCACGGGTATAGAAACCCGGTTTCTAGCGTTGTAACTCCACGGTAATATCGCGGGGCTACTGGGAGGCCGGTTCGTCGGTTTATA